GATATGAGTATTCCCAGAACTCCAGAGATTCCAATGATACACATTATATCTCCCTTCTCCCTTTTTTCCACTTTTATCACCAAGCAAAATAAAAATTATGCAACTCCATTAATGAGCATACTCCATAACTTACTCAATAATAGAGCCATAATAATAGAGACTTGATCATCTTGTTCATTTGAGTATGTAGATTGCGACAATACCATTTACATATCTCCTAAGTGCTTTGTACCTTATATACCCTCAACACCATGCCTTTCACGTTCCACACAGCGACCTCTAGCTTTCTCAGGGTTACATGTATCATTTTGAGAAACTAATTAAGAGTATTCCCCAGCGTTTCTCCAATAGTGGAAAGCCTACATTTACTTCCTTCTATCCCTGATCTGTCACTAAATCCAATACTCTCTTTTCATGCTTTTCGCGGAACGGCTCCCAGTTGCTTAGAAATATCTGTAGACTTTTGGAGACTCAACCAACGTAATCCTACCGCTCCGGAGATTCAGATGATACCATGCAATGCGGTCCTTCACCTCCTAATCAGGTTGTGTCACCTCCACGCCTACTTGGACCTGGTCCCCAACTCCAACCTAACTCCTCCAAAAATACCAGTAGCGTTATGGCAAGTTCATAATAGAATTCTCTGACCAGTTTGGTCCTATTTGTTCGATCAATATTCTTCTAACTATGGCTTCTCCTCTTATGACTCTGAGAACCCCGTTTATACCAGCTCAAGCAACTGGGTCCAAAACACCTAAAATAGCCGTATTTCCAAGCCGAGTTGACCATGGTGATATGATCGTTCACTTTATTCTACTGATGCAAATTATGCCTTCCTCATTACCTCTTTACAGGTTTTAGCAGCCACACTCCTAAATGTCCCCGACACATATATGCCCCTAACTTCATAAATAATATCCATATCACTCCAGAGACATAACCTGCATACTCCCCGCAGTTGGGAGGTTCTAATTTCACCCTATATTCTTATAGTAATACCTCTTCCTTTGTAATACCTATCCCTAAGACTTCGTGCCCACAGGTGCACCAATTTTAAATCCACTCAACAGCTCCAATAATACCACTATCATCATGGCGACTTGAGGGTACTACTTCCACGAGGTAGACTATTCAGCCATTACCATTGGAATATCTCCTAACCCATCTGTACCATTTTTAACCCCACCTCTTCAATTCTTACGAACCACAAAACAGCCTCTAGCGGTCTCAGAAATACCTTCATGATTATGGTGACTTCACTGATGTGATTTAGAACGCTCTGTTTTTAAGAATCGTCTCCCTTATGTCTCAATTCCAACTTCTTTACAGTTTTTAACGACATCACCCCAAAAGTGTCAAAACGAAGCACTGAGCCTACCTCACTCAGAAATACACACGCCATCAATACTTCTTCATTATTGGATTCTCTCGGGCCTAGTGATTTTAATAAATCTCTGCATGTCTCGTTACCATCTCTGCCTGCGTTTGTAGGTCCGCAATACATATTTATCACATTTCAAGAGCTGTCTCCAACTCCAGCCTAAATCCTCCAATCGTTGCTAGGGCTTGACCAGAGATATTTCATTCCCCAGGGGATTCCAATGGTACCATATAAGCCCAACTTACTATGGCCTTACGTCCTTTTCAAACCTCAACCTCAATTCTACTTTTTCACAGAATCCCTAATATCCTCTTCAGAAATATCCGCATACTTATGAGGACTTCACTAGCATTATGTTAGGCTGCCGAAATTGTATAGATTGCTTTATCGTATCTCTTACTACGTTTAACCGCTTTATTACCTGACCTTCCAATTCTACTTCCTCATGCAGGTGCCTCTAGTTCGCTCAGAAAACCTCCCATCTCCATTTAAACTGGATCATCCTGCTCTTGAAATCACGCAGTTTCATTTGGTACAGTTCAGCTCTCTTCTATGTTTTCTTCAGTTCTTTTATCAACGACACCACTTAGATCTCATCATACTGAACTGCTCTGACTTTCTACAGAGTCCCTACATCATTAATCCGACAGGGCTAACCTATTCTAGAAAGCTAGAGGCTCCCAACAGTGCCTATTATAAACGTCTTACGTCACCTTAACCGCTTTTACACTCCGAGCCCCATTTCTTCGTGAAAATAGAACTCCCTCAAACATACCAAAAATACTCTCATAATAACAGGAATTTCTGTAATGTGTCCCATACATCCATTAAGATCTTTTGGTGCCCATTAGGCCTCTATTACAGCCTATTATCCACTTTTATCATTCCAACCTCCTAACCATTGGAATCATGAGCTGCCCATAGATTCATCAGTAATATTCGCGTCGTCTAGAGATTTGACTAATCGATTACTAGGAATAAGACAGCTCTTTTGATACCGTTTAAGTCTCTCAACCAGCTCTTACCCGCTTCTAATCCCCACACTCACGCTATACTGCACTACACAGAACTCCCCGTATCTAATTCAGATATACCCGCACCATCATGGGGACTTGACCAGAGTGTTCTCCAGAGCTAGATGATTCGATTAATACCATGTATGCCTCTCTAACTCTCTCTGCGCCACTTTTAACCCCAGCACTCCTATTTCCGTTTGTTTGCAACACATGTCATATCTCCCTTATATATATCTCCACAGATCTGGGACTTCACCACTGTATTACGCTGGGGACTACCTCTCCGTTGGTTCCCTTCATGTCTCTATTACTACCACTTCACAGGTTCTAACACCTACACCTATTGAACTCACCTGCGCAGGACAGCCTCTAACTCACTCAATAATACCCATACGTTCTCACAGACTTGACCAGTGTACTTCTGAGGCTGAGTTAATTCCAATGGTACCCTTCATGCCTCTCATACTATTTTTTTCAGCAATTATAACACCTGCACTCTTTTATTTCCAGATCTCAAAAATGACCCAACTTCACCAGAAGTATCTACGTCACAAAGGCTTATACAGCAAAACCCCTTTGTCAACTTCCCATGGAGCTGCTTCTGATAACTTCAAAAATACTTACATAATTTTGGTGCCTCCACCAATGTATTTAGAAGGGTCGGTTCGTTTTTGAGACTTTTTGCACGACGGGATCAAAGATCTATCATAGTGGGTGATGAATAATGGGTACCATTAGAGTCCCCTGTATCATACAAACACAATGACCAGATGGGCTAAGCTATGTTTATATTTCTTGTTGAGTTGGAGACACATCATTGATCAGGTAGAATCGGGTTCGTCGCTGCAAAAAGGGGGAAAGATGCGGTAACCTGGAAGTGAGTGGGTTCAAATTAATCTCCTAGGTGTTAGGATTACAATGGTGAACTTGTCATTGTTTTGTGAATAGTTTAGGAGGAGTTATGTCGAATAATGTGTGTATGTAGAATTGATGGTGTTGTTGCTAAACGTTGCTACGAAGGATTAGTGGAGACTTATAGGGTATCATTAGATTCGTCTGAGCATGGGTAATACGTTGATGAAGTCTCCATAGTGATGCAGATATTTACGGTGAAGTTGAGGGCAGCGCTGATGGAAATTGTAAATTGTAATATCGGGAATTTTTTGGGATAAAAGGTAGCAGGGGGAGTTTCAAGGGAATGGAAGAGCAAACAGAGGTAGAAGAATCGTTTAATCAAGACGCAGTGGTCATGGGAGTATTTTTGATCAACTTCTGGGCAGATGTATGATCAAGTAGAATCTGGGGTGTGGGTGATAAAAGCTAGTGGGAAGTAGTGGGGGAGATATAAATGGTATCGTTATAATACCCGGGGTCTAAGGAACACATTGGTATAGTCTCTGAGGCTATGGTCGTAATTCTGAGAGAGTTAAGTTGAGGTGTATGTATGCTAACACTTCGGGATCTCTGTCTTAAAGGTCCAGACGAGGCAACTGGAGATACTTTCGGGATACCGATGGAATCGTAACGTATCAAAGGGTCGTAGTCTTAAGTCTTCATTGTGTCTTGGATATTATTCGTGGGGTTGGCAGCAGTTCTGTTAAATGTATGAAATACGAGTCTTGTGTTTTAACAGAGATGAAATAGATGGTAGGAGAGGTATAGTGAGATATAATGAGTATCACCAGTATGGTAGCTCCTCTTAGAACCCAGTGATCAAGTCGGCTTCACTATATGGGTATTTTTGGAGGAGTTATGGGCTGATATGAGTGGGGGCTGTTATGGGATGTCGCAGTTAGAATATGTAAAGAGGAATATTGGGAGAAGTTATGAGACCTAATAGATTCCCCTGTGTTATACTAACCCAATGGTGAAGACTCCATTATGGTATGAGTATTTTTGGTAGTTATAAACCCATGTGGTCAGTAGAGGAGAATTGAGAGTGAGGGTAAAAAGTCGGTATGAAGTAACAATAGCAACATAGATGGTACCATAGGAATCCCTAGGTGAATAGTAACACGATATTTAGCTGGCAATGGCAATGCATGTATTTATGAAGCTGTTAGGGTCAGTTCAATAAAACGAAGAAGTTATGTGGCTCGCATTATAGAAACGTAACAGATAGCAAAGGTGGAATAGGCTGTATCATATGAATCTAATGGTTCTGGGGATCACTACGGTCAAGTCAGCTAAATAATATGGGTATTTTTGAAGGAGGTAGAGAGACCCCCATGCGGGGCTGTAAAACGGCTTTTGAGGTTAAAGTGGGTATGGAGTGGAAGAGAAGACTTGAAAGGTGTCAGCAGATTCATCCATACTCGTGGAACACAATAGACGAGTTGTTATAGCGATGCGAGTATTTCTGAGAGAGTTAGGTTCAATTGTGTGATAGTAGGATCTGCCACATCGGATGGTTGATGCCCTATGGTGTGATTATAATATTGGATAAATTAAAAGGAGCACTTTAGCAGTACCTGTGGTTTAGTATATAACCCATTCAATCAAATAACTTAAGTCTTTGCTCTCTCTGACAAAAAGTATTCCTGTCGCAGAATTACGCTTACTAATCTCACCGACATACAACAGAAACTCCCAACAAAAAAGATAGCCCGACGTGGGGCTTGAACCCACAGCCTTGAGATGACCTTTGAATAAGAGTCTCACGCTCTACCGATTGAGCTAGCCAGGCGGCTGATTTTTTGAAAATCGAAAAAAGTTGACGATAATATCTGAGGTTTGTCGTAAAAAAAAATTAAATGTATTTCCCTAGAATCAAAAAAAAAATTAACACAAAAAATTTGCTAAAATGCACTTTCCTAGGCTTTAAAAACAAATAAAAAGAAGTAAATGTATCTCTGGCAGCCTGTAAAATCTTTGGTTTACAGATTATCGTTCTCAAGGCCCTTTTTCGTCAGAAATCCCATAAAGTATGTTTTCTAGATACGCATAAATATGATTTAAATGTGTAAAAAATAAGAGGACAAATGAAAGCTTTGGTAGATAAAATAAACCTCATATTTATTCACCTTGACCCTCACCAATGCCCTACTTGTATTCCGACAATTTTATCAAAATCAACACTCACCCGACTTCATGTACTTGTACTTGTAAAATGTACAAGTACTTGTATACACCTCCCATCTATGCAACATAACCTGTCAACTTTCTTATGGTACTTGTATCGTACAAGTACTTGTACAAGTACAAGTACAATAAAACCAGTCTCTCTCCAACCACCACCGAAATCATGTCTGAATCAGATGTCCAACACGTGATTACAAGTAGATCTTCTTTCTTGGTACAAGTACGAGCACAAGTACAAGTAGTCCAGTTCTTGCAACTTCTAAAATGCTGAAAGATACAACTTTCATCATTGACAAGGCCTCTAAGAAACTTGTAGAGATCAAAAGCTACTACAGAGATATCCACTATCTGAGGAATTGTATTTACTTAGGACGCTCCTACGAATGTTCTCCGACACTCCTACTCACTTGATCATTAAGAATGTTATTAAATAGGTTAGAATACATGTACTTAGTTTCGCTTTGCCCGTCCAATATGGGTATTGTTGACCTTTGTGGCAAAACGCAGAGAGTTGATGGTCTCGGAAGCATGGGCCTGCATGGGCGAGACATTGACCAGCATCAGGGTCTTGGAGTTGCCGCCAAGCGAGTACTGCAACAGATACGTGAGCTTGGAGTTTCTGTAGGGAATGTGAGAACCCTCTTTTGCAGTTCCAAGGGCGTGAATCACGTCTCCCAGACAAGCCAACGACTTGTTGATGTTCTGAGTCTCTCGTAATCGGTCTCCAGTCGCTCCACTGTGGTTCAGACGTTCACTTCCAGCCAAATCAATCAGATTCAGCCGACCGTCACACGACTCGCCAGTGACGTGGTTCTGGCCCTTGAGACTGACAATGAAGACGGAATGCGACCGCGACGACCGCTCGTTGGCCTTGGTGGCAGCCACCATCCGGTTCTTGTCCGACTTGCGCAACAGCCGGTTCACAAACTCAATGTCAGACAAAACAACAGGTTCCACGCCCAACACAGACGTGGTCTCGCTCTTCATGTCGTGTCTGATTTCGAGCTTTTTGGAATCCATGTCGGACGCCGAGCCAAGCAGATCGTTGAGATTCTCATTGTAGATTTCAATAAACTGGCCCGAAATCACATAGTCCCAGCCCTTGTCGCGCAGCTGATGTGTCTGCTGGAAAATCAGCTGTAACGTCTCGGGAATCACACCTCCATCTCCAGACATGGTATGCGTCTTTCCGGAACCCGTCTGGCCGTATGCAAAAATGCACACATTGAATCCATCCAAAGCAGACTGCACAAGCTGCGACACCTCCACAAACACCTCCGAGTTGGACGCTGTGGGCTTGAACACACGGTCAAACTTGAACGTCTGCGTCTTGGAGCCCATCTGGCCCGTTATCGAGTCCACCTGCGGCGTGGAAATGGACATGTTTTCGTCGTCCAAAAAGTCCATCTGGACCGCAGCAGCGTTGGGACCCTGGGACTCGGATTCCAGCATCGGTCGCACCCGCGAAAAGACCCGAATGTTGCCACGCAGCTCCTGGATCTCATTGTGCAGCTTTCTCCGCTTGGTTTCCTCCACCAACAGCCGCTGACACGCCTCATCTCGCTCCCGGTTGGCCTGAGCCACAGCAGCCTTCATCTGCTCCATGGTGCCATACTGGCTCTCGTTCTGGTGCTGCAGCTTGTCAATCTGGGACTGCAGCACCGTCGTGAGAGAAGACGCCTGATTGGACGAGATGGACAGCTCGTGAATCTGGCCCTTGAGCGTGCTGTTCTCCTGCTCAAAAGCTGCACACTTGAGCTTCTGGCCCTCCAGCTGCTCCGACACGCCCTCAAACTGCTGTTCAAACGACTGGACCCGCTGGGACATGTGGGTTCGAGACTCCTCATGTCGTCGGTTCAGCTCCTCAATGGCACGTTTGTGCTGTTCCTCAAACTTGTCACGGAGCTGAGATTCATCCCGTCGAACGTTCTGAATCTGCACGTCCATCTCGCGCTTCAGCTCGTCCACCCGCTGCTGCGACTGGGTCTGGAGAGACGCCAGCAGCTCTGTTTTTTCCTCCATCTGCACGCGAATCTGCTCCAACGTGCGTTCCAGCTCCTCTACACGCCGCTCCTTTTCCTCCAGCCTGGAAACCAACTCCTTCACGTGACTCTCCTTGTCCTCCTTCTCCTTGTCCATGTCTTTAACCGACGACTCCCACAACGACATGAGATTGTCTGCGTTCTCACTCAGCTCTTTTATCCGCGCAGAACCCTCGGTAATCTCGTGTTGCTGGTGCTCGTTTTCACGCCGCAAACTGTCCACCTTTCTCCGCAGCGCGTCGTTGTCGTCCTCCAGCTTCTGCTTTTCAAAACACATGCGATTGAGCTCGTTCAACACCTGCATGTGCTTGTTGGCATTGTCCTGGAACTCCTGCCGTTTTTGCTCCAGCTCCTTGTCCTTCTCGCCCAGCCGCACCCACATTTCCTTGACCATGGTGGACGCATACGAGTCGTCCTCGCCACTGCTGCTGCTGCCTTTAGAAGCTCCACCTCCCATCTTGTTGCGAATCTGAGCAGGAGCAGTATGAGAAGGCGTAGGAGGCACAGACGGAACTGCTGTTGCCGCAGAAACCGCTCCTCCACTTTGTATCCCACTTCTGCGTCCGTAAAGTGTGTCGTCTTTGTGTAACCGAGAAACTGGAACTGGAAGAGCTCCAGGAGCAGGACGTTTGGAACCTATCGCAATGTTTTCGTTGTTGGCAGGAATGCTTTTGTGTTCAAACGACTTCGCTGGCTTGGCCACAAATCGCGGAATACCCGAATTTGCAGCCTTGTGGGGCTGAAGCACATTGTCCATGTTGTGTGTCATGTATCGTCGGTGGAGGTGTAAAGTGGTGGATTTCAATTAAAGCGTGATAGTGTATGTTTTGATTTAACCTTTCCTTGTTTGGGGTGTGGTTGCCCAGCAACGGGTTACGCGTTGTGATCGACGTTTTGGGAGATCGAACTGTGGGATTGGAGAAAGTGGGAAAGTGGGGTTAATTGGGGAAATTGTGGTATAGTGGGAATCGCCAGGACCTGAGGAGTATGGTGATATTATCAGTTTCTCACTGAGAAGATTATTCGTCCTTTTATACCCTCACTTCTTGTAGTATTCCTAGCTAACCAAAGTCTAAGTATATGCAATCCTCTTGTTGTACTCCCAACTAAAATACAGAAACTGTTTTGAGCCGTTCCAGGGTTCAATTTGAGCTGAAATTTTGCCAGCGATTTTAAAAAGTGTCTAGTAATTGATTCCACTCGTTGCCAATCCATTACTGATAAATTTCACATGTGCTCGTTTCGTTCCTCATAACCTGTTTAAACTCTTCAGCATGCATGCCACAAGCACACCACCAAAAAAATCCTGGGAGAGGAAAAAGCTGAAATTCTATTTCGATATTTTTGCACACACTTTTTCCGAAATCAGCATGGGTCAGAAATCAGGAGCCAAGGGCAAAGTGACCATTTCGGTCGAGAAGAAGGACGGCAGCAAGGCGGTGACTAAGCCTGTGTCCAAGAAGCAGGTGACTAAGCAGGTGGAGCAGGAGGCAGACTCTTCTGAGGAGGAAGATCTCGAGGAGCTTGAAGGAGGAGATGGAGAAGATGACGAAGAGCATGATGATGATGAGTCAGACGACGACTCTGAGGATGACTCAGAAGACGACTCAATGATGGAGGACGAGTTTGATATCGATGAAGAGGAGTCTGATGACGAGGAGGGAATGGATGCTAGTGCACTACACAAGGCCAAGAAGGCAAAAAAAGATGAGGCGTTTGGAAAGGCGTTTTCCGCCATTCTGGGCTCGTCCATCAAGGCACATGCCAAGGAAAACCCCATTCTTATTCGATCCACAAAGTCTGCCAAGGAGCTGGAAGACCAGAAGCTGGAGGCCAAGGCTCGACGTCTGATCAAGCTGGAGAAGCGAAAAGCTGCTGAGAAGGATCGAGTCAAGACCCTGGTGCCGTTCGACGATCCCGAGCGGGCCAAGGAGGTGCTTGCTAACGAAAAGAAGCTGAAAAAGGTGGCTCAGCGAGGAGCTATCCGAATGTTCAACGCCATTCTGGCTGCCCAGACGGGAGCAAAGTCGTTGGACGAGACCAGCGTGTTGGGCGCGAAAAAACGAGACGAAATGGCCTCGCAGATGTCCAAGGAGAGTTTCCTCGACGCCGTTCGAGAGGGTTAAGGAGGAGGATTATAGATATAGTTAAGGATGGGATTATGATATGTGGAGGACTGGATACTTAGGTATAAGTGTCAGAGTATTAACAGATTACTGATTTCAGAGTGATCAAGTCTCTTGTGGTAGAGGTGTGTGTATCATTACCTTCTGATATTAGAAAATATGACTAGAGACTCTTACAGTTGGTATCAGACTATTCTAAGTTGGGGTCAGACTCTTGGCAGTTGGAATAGTATATAAATACTACAAATATAATAGTAATTAAATGTATCTTACATGAATCCTCTGGGTCTCATAATGGTGTACTATCTGTAGGGATTTGATATATGCACTTCCGCTGGCCTCTAAGAAAATGAGCAGTAGAATGATGAATATCTAAGAGTGTAAACGTACAAGATCATATTTCATTCGTCCAGATGATTATAGACTAATATGAAGAC